TAATAATATTAAATTTAATAATATTAAATTTAATAATATTAAATTTAATAATATTAAATTTAATAATATTAAATTTATAAATTCAGCTTTTGATATTTGCTAAAACAGTAAATAGAAATGTATTGAACAAGATAATTATAGCATGATAACATTGCTGTTAATCTATATAATTTTTCATATTGCAAATATGTATGATTCATTATGCTAATACGAGGTAAAATAATAAAATTTTCACTACTATTCTTCATGATCTGAAACCTGCATTTTTTCAAGAATGTGGTTCATTCGTATTATGACTTCACTTGGAACCATACTAATTCCTTTTGAAGGATTAAGATAGTTTAGAGCAACAGCCATTCTGAATGCAATAGAATTTTTTTCAGTATTCAGATCTGCAAAGGTATGATCAATTATCAAATTAAGATAGGTGTAATGTGGATCGTCATTAATATCAACAGGTTAGTTAAGTTTTAAGTAACACTTTTTTGTAATATCAGCTTTTTTGAATTTTCATTCCTCTTCATGTGTGACCTGTCGATTTCCTGTTTTTGGTTTTATGAGATCTGAGAATTTACTATGAATAGTATCCTTAATTCGTTGGACTATGTTACTTCTTGCTTGGCAGCAAAATCGATGAGCCTAATAAAGGCATATAAGATTAATTAACTACACAATATATAGTTATTGCATGCAAAGTATGCAATAACTACTGTATTTTATGAGTGATGATGGTTAGTTAGTAACCCAGCTAGTATGCTGAGTTACTGAATGACCAGAAGAGAATATAAAATACAGCAGTTATTATATACTTTGCATACAATAATTAAAATTTATCATTACAAGCTACTTATAGACGAACAGACATTCTTGTTAAAATAGTGTTTCCAACCACAATATTTTATCTTACTTTGAAACTCATCCTTTTTCATATCCAATAGTGTGTCATAACATATCTTCATCAGGTGTTTATTGGTTGGATACTTTATTTTTTCGATTGCAGCATAAATCACTTCTCCAATTGCATCCTATATATTATATAAAGTATTATAGACAAATTAGTATATTATATATAAAATTAAAATCGCTTAATACGAATAAGAAGCATATTTGACCCTCATTAATATTAACCTTGTTAATATCAACATGAATTTAAAACCAACCCAAATGAGTTAATATTAATGAGGGTCACATGTATATCCAACCTCTATTCACTTCAATTCCTTTTTTATATTATCCTCAGAACTGATTTTAAGTTAACATGTAGTTTATTAATTTTTGTTTGCATTTCTAGAATGGTAGTAAACATTTGAAGCTGCATATCATGCATACTTATAATAGTTGATGCCAATCCTAAAAATATAAAAGAACAATGACATAAATTGATCGTTATTAGAAAAAACAAATAGTGAATAAACTTACAGACTTTTTTACATAAATTTGTATTGTCATTTATTGTTTCTTTGTCTTTTCATTTAGCATTTGAATGAGTAGACTCATTTTCTAAAATATCGACATCAATAGGATTTTTATTATCACTTGTAAGGTCTGGATTATATAAATTGTTGTCAGTATCATCAGACCCAACCAAGCAGCTTTTTATATTTATATTTTCTGCAATCATCATATTTGATCTCATCTAGGTAGAACTGCTGGAGAAGCTTGAAGTGCTAAGGATGCTTGAAGTACTTGAAACATTTTGTGTGTTTGTTTGTTTTTCAATAAGGTCAATGGAAGGTAAAATATGTTGAGCACCTTTGTGTACTGGCACAGCTTTTCTCTTAGTACAACCTATTTTTGCAACAAAAGTATATGTATCTATAGTGCAAATTATAATGAACATAAAACCCACTTTGATAAATTTTATAATACCAAACTCATTCATCTTACCAATTATTACACACACTATTAATATTTTTTTACTTTTTATATTCTACTTCTAGCTTTCAACATTAAACTCCTCTATTTCTACCTAACCTATGTATTTTATTATTTTTGCTTGAGAAGAGATTGTTTAATTACGGATTTTTAAAAGTATCTAAGGGCATCCTGTTAAAAAAAAAAATTTACAAATTTTTCATATACATGTATATAAATTTTTCTATGTAATCATCATGATACTAGAGCTGACATGATCTATTAAAATATTGTTTATTCACAAAGTATCGATCTTGATTCACATTATTAACAAATCAAAGATTCTTATTTGTTATCTTTACAAAAGTTTAAATACTAATTTGAAGCATTAAAAGAGTGGTGTAGTATTTTAATATGTCTGCATGATGCTTGTTTAGTAATAAATTATGCAATTACATAATCATATTATGCATGCATAGTTTATTTTAATATCTGATAATTGCATATGCAAATATAGTATGAAAGCATAATGAATAAGATAAAATTTTTTTTTCAAGTTAAAATAATAAAATACATGCTTTATAAATCACAAGTGGTGCCAAAATAGCTTTATAAATCTCAATAGTCATTTACATTTCAGTGGTAACTTATTCAAGATGCCAAAATGTTTATATTGTAAGAAGGTTTTTATGAACCAGCAGGCGTTGGGTAATTATATAAAAAAACATTTAGATGACAGTAATAAAGATTTAAGTTTGCCAAATCAAACGATTGAATAAATTTGATTAAAATAACAACCAGAATTCTTAATAATCAAAACAAGCTCGAAAGGCAAAATTTATCTAAAACAGATACAAATTATAAGCAAATTTGTTTTGAACATAACTTAGATAATAGTTTATGAGATATTAATTCTAATGTATATGGGTCTATTGCACAACAAAATCCCAGTACCTCATCTTTTAATTGCATAAGCAATATTCAAAATTTTGAATCTATTGAAGAACAGGACATTGAATTTTTTGATTATAGCGATCTTCAAAGTAATACATCATATGAATCTATTGAAAAACAGGATGTTGGATTTTTTGATCATAGTGATCATAGTGATTCTCAAAGTAATATATCAGATAAACAATCTGATCTATCAGACATTATAAATGTTGATATTAGTGAATATGCTGAATATGATGATTTGCATGCTAGAAAACCAAAAGAACCTGAGAACATATACCAAGAATTTTCATCGGAAGAATATGCAGAATTTATGCATATAATAACATGGTTCCATGTACAAGATCCACTTGCAAACAGCTTTATATGTTTTTTTAACAAATATTCAAATTGCAATGATCATTCATTACCATCTACATCACAAAGTGGGCAGGCGTTTATTGAGGATCTTAATCTTCTATTCTTTGGCTGAAGAAAAGAAACTATTTTTAAGTATGAAGGGCTAGAATATATGCTTGGGTTTAGAACAGTACTTGATGGGATACACCAACTTTTAATCAACAAGAGTATCACTGAAAAATTCATATTTAAATATAAGCCATCTTTTGATAATATAAATAAATTTATTTAAAATTTATCATGTTAAGGTCATACAAATTTAATTCTTAGTTTTTATAAGTTTTAAACAGACATAGCTGGCTAGGGGTTTTTTGTTCTAATTTCATATATAAAATTTTAATAAAAATAACCCACTCGGCTATTAAAAATATATAAAAAAAATTTTAACTTTAAATTTGAACTTCACCAAGTTACAAAAACCAATTAATTAATTTCATATGGTCTAATTATAAATTTTTTTTTATATTAACAATTAAAGTTATCTAGTCAACATCAGTATTCAGATATGTATGATTTTGACTGATGAAAAAATGTTAAACAAAATATTCCAATGGGGGCACATGTTATGCCAATCATTCTCTATTCAGACACTACTCTCTGTGATCATCTAGGCAAGACATCAAGACATTCTGTATTCATGACACTTGAAAATATTCCTTTGGCTCGTTGTAACAAGGTTGATGCCAAAATTTTGCTTGGTTATATTCTTAGTCTTGATTATTGCAATGCTTCTAAAAAAAAAACAACATCATTTCGATCAGCAGCCCAAAAACTATTTCATCATACACTAGCTGCAATGCTTAGACCATTAAGGTCTTTAAGTTATAATGGTATTTATTTATATGTTAATGAAAACCTCAAATAGTTTTTTTCATATTTGGTGCTTATAATCTCAGATTGGCCCGAAGCGTGTGTAATGTGTGCTGTTTATGAATCTCCAAAATCTTCACATCCATGCCACTTCTGCCTAATTGATCATGACACAATGAATAATGTTAATCTCAAAAAGGAAAATATAATTATCTGTAATAAGAACACAACCAAAAATTCTTTGCGTCAGGGCATTGGCAAGCAGATTTTAGTACACAATATGAGAAATGCCTTATGGCATCGATCATAAGTAATTCTATAAATCAAAAGCATAGCAGCATGTCAAAATATACTAATTATAATAATAATAAATCCATTGGTAGGCACTTCAATGTTTATACAATGTGTGTACCCGATCATATGCATCACGCAGACCTCAGTTTGTTTCAATATCAGTTATGATTTACCATCAAATTATTAAATTTAAAATATGGCAATAGTGCAATAAAGATTCTTGAGGAATGTCTTGCCAAAATTCCTTGTTACTCAAACCTTAAAGTTTTTAAAAATGAAGTTGAAAGGTTTAATCGATTAATTGCTGTCAAGTACAGAAACCTAATGAAAATAATGTTATTTGTCTTAAATGAGTTAATTGTTGACAAAAAACTTAATAAAAATTTATGTGATCTTTTTTATTTCTGGATTGACATGTACATATAAAGTCATCAGCCTAAATTTACTAAATCTGACCTTAACAATTTTGAAGTAAGTTCATTGATAAAAATAAAAAATATATACATAATGTATTATTATTGTTACTTTATTTTATTAATTTATTTTATTTTATTTTACCTAATATATATATATATATTTATGCAGAAATCAATTGTTATATAGAGTAGCTTATTTATTAAATTAATGTCTAGGTTTTCATCATCAAATCTAAATTTACCTAAATTACATAGCTGGTGATTTCACTTAATACCTTCAATTTACCAATTCAGTGCTTTTAATGGATTTACAACTGAGACATATGAGTTGTTACATAAAACTAATGTTAAGCAACCATACCATATGACAAACAAATGTTATATAAACACACAAATGCAAGCAACTGTAAGAATTTTTTTTCTTTAGTATAATGGTTTACAAATAATGGATAATAAATCTTTTTTTAAGATGTTGTGTCAAAACATCTTTATGTTTTTTATTTTGAAGTCTCGATCAAAATCTAATAAAAGATCGTATAATGGAATTACTTCAAAAAAGGCTATAAAGCAGATGACTCAACATACAATCGATCAAGTTATAAACCAGTTATCAAATGCAGACAATTTATGAATACACGATTTTAAACAGCTTAAACATTGCATTTATGATTATTTTCTAAGTATCAAAAATTGGACATCACATGATATTAAACATGAAATTATCTTGATCAAAGTATTTGATTTTGCTTATTTGGACAATGATAATAGAGTGGTAATTTGTGCAATTTCAAATTATTATAATCAGGCAGCCTTTTCAAATGTATATATTGAAATAGACGAATTAGAACAAGATGATTATTTAACAGATAATGGATTGTGTTATGCAAAGGTATGTATGAATTAAAAATAAGTATGAATTTAACATTAATTATAATATAAATAGTATACCAAAACTATTTTAATTTTATTTTAAGGTTCTTCTTATTATTCGGATCACTTTGTCAAAATTAGATTAGGAACTTGAACTTGCTTATTCACTGGTATGACTTTGCATATCCATCTAACATAAATAGCCGCTATTTTTATAAATGCACAATTCTTAAACATGTTATACATTATACTTTAATTCCTATTGCTTCAATTGCAAACATTGTACATATCATTCCAAAGTTTAATGAGCCAGGCATTTTTTTCGTAAATAGATATATTGATTATTAAAAAAATTATATGTATACTTGCTAACTGAATGGTATTTCAATAATTATTTTGCTTAATCAAGTACATCTTTTCTGTTTTAAAATTTTAAATTAGTACTATATGTTGCCAATTAGAAGCAACCACTAAATAAAAGCAATTCTTCAGATTTTGGAAGCAAAAAATTTGATCAATATTGTTATATTCTACTAGCAAAATTGGGCTCAAATATAAGAAATATGCAACATTTTGTTGCTTTTATTCAGTAAGGTGAGACCAACTTGATTCTGTGTTTTACATTACCCCCACTCTTCTGGAGGAGGATGGTTTAATGATATTATACATATATTTTTTTTTTGTTTAATTTTTTCAGATCAAAATTTTTATTTTTTCTATTTTGGAATTTTTTGGCCACTTCGCATTAAATTTTGTTTATCAATTTTGTATTTTAGGTTCATTCTTATTTAACTTAATAAAAATTATAGAATCACAGTACATAATAAACAGGATTAGTAACAACATTTAATAGTAATATCATTATTCAAGACGAATTCTTAATTAACAGCATAATGTTTAAATCAAGTAGGGTTTGCATGTAGTTATTTTGAACCATGATCTTACGTCTTTACTAAGGTAAATGTCATCTATATTTCTAATTTATCACTCGATATCAATTCTATAAACCTTATTTTTTTACTAATTATTTGATTTAATTTCATTGCAATTAACAAAATATCGATTATGCTTTGATAATTCTTAGCAAGACTGAAGTGAATTACAAAGTATTACTGAAGACACTGGTGGAATTAATTTCATTATATTTCATGAATTTAACACTAATTTTATCAGTAGTCCAGCATCTTTAGTCATGACTAATTAACATTGGCCCATATTAAATGGATTTTAATATAGGGTAGGACTCATTTGACTCTGTTTATTAATTCATTTTTACAATAGTAAATATACAAGTTGGGTTAAGCTATTAACATCCTTAGGTTAGATTGAGAAAGATTAAGAAGAGAACTTAAACAAAACCTGTACCAAATTATAGGTCAAGAGCAGTCTCGAAATAAAAGAAAAATTTATTTTATCAATCCAACTACAAAAATACCATTCCTGATGGATTGTTGGTACCGAGTTAAAAAAAAAAAATTTATTTGAGTACTGTTCCTAATAGTGTTTTAAAATGAATTCTAATCCTATCATTTTTCATATACTTCGCTATGATAGTATAGTATTTTAAAGACTCTTTTTTAGAACCTTATCAGGAATGGTATGTAAATCAATATTTATTTTTTTAACAGTACAAATGATTTATCAGGAATGGTATATAAATCGATATTTATTTTTTTAACAGTACAGACGATCCATCAGGAATGGTATATAAATCGATATTTATTTTTTTAACAGTACAGACAATCCATCAGGAATGGTATTTTTGCCAATCAACCTGTTACAAACTCATCATGTAATTCTTTACATATTACCATTACTAATAGAGAGTGAATAAAGAAAAAACAGATAGTTTACTATAGTAATATGTAATATGGCGAGTCTTCATACAATTTCTATAATGAATTGCTTATAATTATAAAAAATAAGTTTATTTAAATTGAAAATATAATGAAAAAGGCATCCTTTATGAACTTATTACAGAGAAGGTTATGTTATAGTAAACACAAGCCAAATCTGTATTTTTTTATTTTTATTTTTATTTTATTTTGTTAAAAAGTATTAAGGTTCAAATTTTTAATATCACTTTAGATTTACAGATCTACTGAATTCACATCTCAAAAAATGCAACTTACACTTGCGCTTATTTTATAATATCGATTTTGAAAGAGCAATACATAATATATGTTTAAGGTAGTTCCAGATACTTGCAGTCTTATGGATTGATTGTTGTTAGCAACTATAAAATTTTCATAAGGACAGAATTTGAATGTTAATAATAAAAAAATGATCATTGGTATACGAGAGTAAAACAAAAAAAAAATTTTTTAAGAAAAAGATTTGATTATCATAAGCTTGAATATATGTAAATATTATCTGTGGAAGGTACTTAAAAGAAAAAAACGTTAAAAATTGATGACAAGAAACAGCAGTTTATTAATTAGAGATGATAACAATAAGTAAATTGCGAATAGAGGTTCACATATTTAAAGCTCTTCTGCCAATAATTATAAAATCAACTCTGGATATAATGAACCTTTTTATAATGAACCCATTATATAATGAGTGCTTTTTAGCAAGCCTGTAGGGTTTGTTATATATAGAGTCAATGGTAATTATTATGTTTTTTGAATTTTTTTTTTTTTTGCAATTCTTCACTCATCCTATAACCTTAAATTATGTTTCCATCATATGTTTTAGTGTATATATTGAAACAGCTAAAGATGGTGAGTTTGGGAATCACATGCTAACTTTTTTTTTTTGCAGAAAAATACCATAGAATCAGAGATGATAATTTTCTGCGCTCACAGAATTTTGCAGAAAAATCATGAATTCATTTTTAAATTTTGGCCTAGATTTAAGATCATAATACCAGCTGATATTAATTTGGCCAGAATTTGCGGATCATAATGCTGGCCAACTTTACGTAATTCTGGCCAATCGCAGAATTTTTGCTGAATCATTTACATCCTGTAAAAATTACATGTAATTTCATGTAAGTTTTAGTAACATGGATTTCAAGTAAATTTCATACATGATACATAGTACCAGCACTGTGAAAAACTTAGCTAGCATTATTGAACTACAGTATATTCTGCATAAAGTTCAACCCTACTCGTGACATGTAAATTTTTTCTATTTTTGACATGTATATTACTGATTAGTAGCAACCACTGTATAAAAGTAATCATTCAGATTTTAGAGCCGGCAATTTGACTAAGATTATATAACAATAAAATTGGACCTGAACAGAAGCAAGCCCTTCACTTTGGCTTGAAAAATTCTCATTTTTATGTGATATTTTGGGTTAGTTGCTTTTTTTGATAATATTTATTCAGGATCAAGAATTTGTCACCTTTGATCTAAAGATCTTTGAGTATACATTTCTTTTAAGATGCCCATTAGATAGATGCAATGCTCCTCTTGAAAACAAGTAGAGGTCTTATATGAGTTTCATTTTCTTGCTTTAGTTAACATTTTTCTTTCTGTAAACAATCATTCTACAGATAATATTGGTTACAGGATTTAGTTCTGATGACGAATCTTTTAGGATGGTCTATGCACTATAGGAATATCTTAGATCTAAGTTCTTGTTACTCGAAATCTAGTAGGAGTTTCTTTGGAGCAGCCTATAATGATTCCTGAGCTATAGGAAATTCTGAGGCTTTATTTTTGCTGTTTGCATTATAGATGAAATAACAATTACTTAGTATTATTAGTTAGCATTATTATAATTAGTGTAATTTAGGTTACAAGTATAGTTGTATAAGATAATTTTGTAAATAAATATTTTATAAAATATCATTATAAGTATAATTAATAAATACAAAATATAAATATGCAATTAACTATATTAGGTGTTATTAAATATATATTAAATTATAATATTATTATTATATATATTAAATAAGCATTTATAGAATATTAAAATTAATTGTTTCTTTAATACTATTTATTATAATAATTAAAAAATATCAAATTTAAGTAATTTAATAATATATCTTAAAAAAAATATTTGTAAAATAATTAAAATTAAATATTTAATTTGTATTTTATTATAATATTAAAAAAAAATATTTATAAAATAATTAAAATAAATATTTAATTTATATTTTATCATAATATTAAATAAATACCTGTTTCAAACATACATAAATATTTATCGAATATTAAATATTTTATTAATATAATCTATAAATATTTATTTAATAATTATAGTTAAATTAATATAAGCTTAACGTTTTTTTAAGTTCCTGATGTAGATTTAATCTTTACAGTATTACTGTTGAAGATCTGTGCTACCTTTCTACTTAAGTTTTTTTATGTGGGCTCTAGCTTCTCAGTTTTATGAATTTACACAGTCATAAGAACTTATCTTAAGTTTGTACTACTTATTGCCAGTTTGCATCTTTATATAATTTTAATATTGTGCAAATGCCCTATAATTGTCAGTTATGCTAGTGTAACTATAGTTACAGATATCTTATTTCAACTGATCAACTGAATAGTGTCACTGTAATATTGTCTATATATTACATAGGTAATTACTTAAATTTTTACTGTCAGTAGGTTTTAAACTTACAACCTATCACTTAAAAGATTGACAACTTATCTACTTTACTAAGTTGCTAACTTCTAATATTAGGTTAATTTTAAATTTGATTAAATCAAATATATTTTTGATTTAATTTAATTTAATTAAATATTTGATTCAAATATTTAAATTTGATTTAATTTAAAATTTTGATTAATAAAGAAAAAACTCAATTTACAAAAATTTTTATTATATTAATCAATATTAAATTTTTAAGTAAAATTATTCTTTTAAAAAAATATTTCTAGTTTTATAAAATAAAAAACAATTGTTTTAATAAAGTTTTAAATAAATAACTTTAATTTGAACATTTAAAGCTAGAGTTCATATAAATCACTTATCATATAACTTTAATTGTAAAATTTTTTATTTTGATATTTAAAAATATTTTTACTAACTTAACTGCTTTTAAGCTTTTAAACAATATTGTAAAGCAGATTTTTATAATTTTAATAATAATAGAATTATTAAATTCAGATTAAAATTCATTAAGATAGGTTTATTTAAAAATTTGGTATTATAAATCTATTATAAAAATTATATAATAAACTAATTAGAACATTACTACTAAGAATTTAAATTTATCACTGAGACTTTTATAATATATATAAATATAATTTTTTTAAAATAATATATACTATAATTTTTTATTATAATAAATAAATTATTTTAATTTATATATCTTAAAAATTTAATAAAATTTTGGTATGTTTTTAAAAAATTTTATTAGTATTATATTTTTACTTATTATGTAAATCTAAATTTACTATGCAAATCATATAACAAATGATCTATATATACTTTACCTTTAATTATATATTTTTATATTAAATCAAGTTTAATCATATTTGAATTTAATTTGAACTTAAATATTTGATCAAATCAAATAAAATTGTGAAACCATAAATAGATGATAAGATCTCATCTTGAGGTTGTTATACAATAATATAACTTTCTTGAAACTAGATATATATATTTCAAATAAATCATTATGGTTACTACTAATTAGATAAGTAGGTCATTATAATAATCAATATAGAAAATCTAATGTTCTTATGTTCTCATGAGAACATTTATTACTTTGAACATGTTCTCTATAAAAAAAATTTTGAAAACATGTTGTTTAATAAATATGTTCTCTATATAGTATAGTCAAATAAAGTTGACAATTAGAAAATAAGTAAATTCTAAAAATTTTCAGAAAGAAAATGAAAGAACATAAAAGATGAGCAAGTATGAAACAAAAATTTAATAAATTATTGATATTATCTGAAAATTTTCAAAAAATAGCAACAGAGATTTTTGCTATTGAAAACATAAAAATATTTTTAAGAACATTAAATTAAATAATTGTGTTCTTATGAGAGCATAAATTTCGAAACAGATTTCCAACACTGATGATGATCACTTTTTCTGGTTTTGCAGCATTACGGTTTTACCTCTAATATGTTATAGTTTAAATTCAGCAAAAATTCGTCTGATTGGCTAGCTTCATAAATCAATTTGTAGATCTCATGTGATTATTAACCAATCAAATCACAATTTGCAATTCATTACGCATATTATAATATTACGGTACTAGAAACGAAAACTTCAAGAAAAAACTTTATATAAATCGACAAATACACTTGGATTATTAAATTATATACATATAAAATATAGATAGACGAATATAAAGTAGAGCAAAAAATGATTTTCACTATTAAACAAAACTCGAATCACTAAATTAGATCTAAGTATGCTTTAACAAATTAAACTAACTTAATATATCAAATGTAAACCCCAGATCTCTCACGCGAACAAGCTTGTCTTGCTTCAACCACCTAACCAGAAATCTCAATCTCTAAAAAAAAAGAGATAACTGTTTTTGTTAATAATTATTTTTGTTTTTATGCATTTTAAAATTCAAATATAGCTTTTTTTCTGAACCTTTTCTGTGAATAAGATTTTAAAAGATTAACTTTGGAGTTCACTTTCTAGCTTTTTTTTTTTGAAGATAGAAATAATATTTGTGACGATTTTTTTTGCTTGTATAAATTTTACGATTGCATAAAGTACTTTAAAGTGTATAAATAAGTTACCCAGGCAATTGATTTACACCAGCCAATCAGACGAATTTCGTCCCATGACATCAGATCTGGGTTCGGACTTTTGGATCAGGCCACAATTAATTCGGTAGATGCAAAAAAAAAAAAAAGTTACAGAAATGGTTATAATTAAGTAAAAATGAGAAATGATAAACATGATGATCTTTACTAATGTATCTTATATTTCAAAAAACCGGTAACTAAAAGCAGGTTCTATTTTCTGACTTCTGAAAGATAAAAATATCATTCTTTTCACTATAAGTTTTTTTTCTCGCTGATTTTGAAATCATCTAAAGCTATGGATAAACATAATCGCAAACCTTTTGTTGGTGGTATGTTAGTTTTACGAACGATAATGATTACTTATCCAGTAGTTTAATGACTTATTTAATTTCGATGAAAATAAAGGAAACTTTAAAATGAATGGTTCTAAAACCATGCTTAAGGAGATAATAGATAGATTGAATGCATTAAAATGTGATGATCACGTTGGTGAGAATTTATTATAAAAATAAATGAATAATAAAAAACAAATACAATTTAGCTACAATTTTATTTCAAATTACAGAAGTAGTAATCGCCCCTCCGACACTATTTCTCGATCTGGCACACAGATCCGTTCGTGAGGGTATTAGTATTGCCGCTCAGAATGCTTTTAATTGCTCTAAAGGAGCTTACACTGGTGAGGTCAGGTGGGTTCATTATAGAGAAATGAGGGGTCTTTTTTTATCGAATAATGAAATTCAAATGATATATTGAAAAAAAAAAATTTTTTTTTCTTCAAAAAAAGCCCTGAACAATTAAAGGACCTTGGTATTGATTGGGTAATCTTGGGTCATTCAGAGCGTCGGGAGATCTTTAAAGAGTCGGACGAAGTATGTCATGTTTTGACATATTTAGTATTCTCATTCTAATATGCCCTATTCTGACTCATTTTGTTTTCCATTTAATGGATATAAGTTTGTTGCTTCTAAAGTAGCACATGCCTTAAATGTTGATATGAAAGTGATAGCCTGCATTGGAGAAAAATTAGAAGAGCGAGAGTCAGAAAAAACTGAAGAGGTTGTGATCAGACAACTTAAATCTATAAGTGAGAAGGTCAATAATTGGAGAAATGTTGTAATTGCCTATGAACCTGTTTGGGCTATTGGTACGGGAAAAGTAGCAACGCCACAGCAAGTATGGACTAATAATTAATAATAGTATATTTGAATGTTTTTTTTTTACTATTATTGACACTTTTAATATTATTAACACTTTTAACTTTTGCTAGGCCCAGGAAGTTCACCTTATCATTAGAAATTGGTTAGCAAAAAATGTATCGCAACAAGTGGCCCAAGATACACGTATTATCTATGGAGGTAATAACCTATAACTTATTTGGAATATTTATTTTTATGGTATATTGATAAATCAAAATCTGTATCTTGTTATTAGGTTCTGTTAATGACAAGAATTCTTCAGAACTCGGTGAGTTTATTTTCTAGTCGTTGAATGAAGGAATTCATCAAAAATGTACTATGTTATAATTATTAATATATCTTTGCGTAATATGATTGTTTAGCGAAACAACCTGATGTTGATGGATTTCTTGTGGGTGGTGCTTCCTTAACAGAGAAGTTTATTACGATTATCAGTTGTTTCGTTTCTCCCGAAAACTAATTATCGTCAAAATAAGAAATCTTATCTATAATATCGAATAAATATAAGTCTACTGTAGTATTATACAAAAATTATAAGAAATTAATACTTGTTGACTAAATTGATGAAAACATAAGTAAATAAAGAGGAAAAGTTTATTATTTGAGGGTATCGTCTCATCATTTTTATTTCAATCTGTTAAAAGTTATTGCAATCTACATAAGGGCAAATTATTGAACCTTTACTGTTTGATTAATTTCAAATAAGGATGGGAAAAAAAGCCCGGTTGATTTCTGAAATTTTGAAGCCTATAAAAATAGTGTTCCACAATTGGTGCCGATATTATTATATTTAATTAGTATGATAAAAACATGCTTTTAGCAAATGGAACCAATTTGCTAAAAGTGTGTTTATCATACTAATTACATATAATAATATCGGCACCAATTGTGGAACACTGTTTTTATAGGCTTCAAAATTTCAGAAATCAACTGGACTTTTTTTCCCATCCCTATTTGCAACCAATAAAAGTTGTAATAAAACAAGAAAGCAAACTACTAACTAGTATATTCAAAATCTTTTATTAAGTTTTACAAGTTTCATTTGATAATTATAAATTTATTTGTGTTTTGGAAATATAAATATATTATTCTAAATGTTTATTTGTGTATTCTATTTTAATTGTAAATTAAATATAGTGTAATTTTAAAATTCCGTAAAATTAGGGCATATAAAGTTAATTTTTGGTTTTGACAACGTAAAATTTTAAAAAATGACTCGGAATCCGACTTTTGGTTTTATTTTTCAGATATTACAGACAAAAATTTCAAAAAACCAGTCGGATAGTAAATATACTAAAAATTTTTTCTTAATTTTAGCAAGATTCGGTCGGTTGGGTTATTAAAATAAATAATAGTTATCTTAAATATATTAATGGTCTTTAAATTAATATAATATAAATAAAAAAGAATTATATTTTTTATTTAATTATTAAAATATAATTTTTACTACATTATATAATTTTTAAATTAAAGATTAAGGGCAGTCTACAGCTAAAGGGTATAAAAATACGGTGGAGTTTTACCATAACTTTAATGTTGTGATGGAATGCCAACCAAAAATTCCTAATAATAAGAAAAAAAATACATATAATAAGAATGAAAAAACTTAATTTAATTTCTTGTGATTTACACAACCGATTTTAGAATCGTAATAACATGTTTTACAACTTTAATTAAAGATTCAAACTATATTTACTTTGTAGTACTTTTAATTGTAGTGAATCTGAATTCCATTACTATAAAAATATATAAGTTTCGACTATGATACTTGGTTATGTCTTTTAACTGCGAACTACCTCTTAAAAATTATAAATGCATAATAAAATATTGTTATACTCAGTTATTAAAATAAAATAATAATTCATATTATAGTTTTTCTTAGTAATATTTATATTATTTTATATTATAAACAAGTTATGTAATTTAATTAATTATAATAAATTTAGGAATCTGAAATTTTACGCCTTATTTTGATATTGCCACACCCTAATAAGATTAATATTATATTTTAATATTTAATGCTAATTTGAACTAAAAAAAGTATAACACTTAATACTAGCACTTTGTTATAAACTATAAAATGCTTCAAAGATTTTGTAATAAATGTAATAGCAATATAAATCAAATCCGAATGGGTCAATTTGATTTTTATCTAATATTGATATTGATTAGTTGCATTAAAAAGATTTTGTAAACTTCATAGATTAATTTTATTATACAATATTTAAACGTATAATTATTAGAATAGATGCAACATAATTAATTTTGAACTTTTAAATAAAAAATTTGCATTAAAAATAAACAAATTAAAATGTTTATAAAAGAACTAAATTAACATTACAGCTAATATTAGACAGCTTTATTAGGTTTTTTTCAGGAAATAATTTTTGGAAATTCAATTTATACTTAGCTTATTTAGTCAACATGCCAAATGACAACTTAATAAACGTATACCTACCACTAATCAAATCTTAGTCATAACCTTATGTACTGTCGGATAAACTATCAGTGAAGCGATTGCCATCGACAAATTACTATACGGTTGAGTAGTATCGGGATGCTTTTCAAAAATATTAAAATTTACAATTAATTAGTACCTTAAGAAGGATACTTTTTCAGGAGAGTACTCTACGGTACTGGTTCTAAATTCTATACTTGTTTATTTCATATTTTCTGTATTATTATAGCACGGCCACTATTTGATTATGAGTATTACACCGTTTACGTTATAAAATTACTTTCATTTTATTACGTCATTCATGCATGTTATTTTATACGGTATACGTCATCTATACTTATACTACCAGATACACTACACGAACTAAAGAGATTTTAAAAAACATAAACGGTATCAATGACCGCCGTACTATATTATACAATTATCGTTATGATATACGTATCACGATATGTTGCAAAATTATACATATCAGCAGCAATTTCACCTTAATTAATTTGTGATATTAATAACAGCTATAAAGAGCCAATACGTATTAAGAATAAAAATAACTCAGCCTTGTTTGATTCACTCAAACCAAATTTAATGACTACGTAATGATAGAAACGTGTAACAAACACTAATCAGTTGCGTAAGCATCTGACCATTGATAGTTACACATTCCCATTAGCAGGACCTATAACCCTGTTATTAATTATCGGTCTAATGTGAATTTTACATGTCGGAAATGAATAAATGATCATACTAGAATGTTCTATATATAAAATCAATCGATGCAAATGATAAGGGCAACGTTAAGCATGAGTCTAATATTAGCTCGGAACTTTATATCTATTTATTATAGTTATAAAAAAGTTCAGTTTTGTCATTGTTCGTGTTTATGCAAATACATGCAATCCCATTTTATTTTTATCGATTCCATTGACTAAAAAGTGTGTATGTAAATACATTTCTGTATTTAACCTAAAATTGCTGTGCTGACGATGCATAATCTAAAAAAAAAAGATTTCACAGCCGAGTTGTGTCTACTGTTTGATCCGCGTGAGTCTTTGAATAGAAAAAAATTTATCAGACTGATGATTATGCATCGTAGCTACTACCAATTGATTGAATTGGGCTGTGCTTAAAATTGAATCAATAACTCCGATCATATGTAATTTATTCTTTCGGTGCTTGTCTCTAGTATAATATTCTATTAGTTGATCAAACACAGGTATTAACGTATTTGTTGACTTTACTAGGAATGTTTGTAGACTAACATAAATTTATATGCTTTTTGGTGGTTGATCAAAACTTTAAATACAAATTTTGATCAAGTTTACATGCCCATCAATACTAATTTATTATTATTATATTATATCAGTTTAAATACGTATGTACGTATCGGTATGTACATGATAAGCTGTCAGGTTGCCAAGTACTTATCAAGCTTGTTAATAACCATGTGTAAAAAAAAAAGTATTTTTAGTATTAGATGTTATGATTTTGAAGTTTGGTTAAAACGTGTATATTTAATCCTGTTTAGTCAACTTTGAAGATTGTTTCCTTTTAAGATTTCATCAAGAACTTGAAATGTTTTGGCGCATATTTACGCCCAGTTTTGTCTAGAATTCTAAAATCGTATTAGACTTTTCACAATTTCTGTTAAATTTTGTTCTTTTTTTCGAAAAAAAGCATGAGTTAATGATAATGGCCTTTATGGATTTTAAAAAGAAGGTACGTAACTGACATCCCTTTATATCCATGTTTCTGTTATTATAAATTATTGAACGTTTATTTTCTGAATGAAAAGAAGTTATTTTTCTATTTTAAACAATGATGGTTTTATCAAATTATTAAATATATTTAATATTTTTTTGAAAATATTTATATAATCATTCTTATTTAATTTAAATATACAGTGGAAGGTGATCAAATCATCGAGAGTTACGGGTGTATTCGCGTTGCTGGCAGTAATACAGTTCCTCATACTAGAAAGTCTGCAAATAACAATTTTGGTCTTAAATATAAATTTGGCCGAAAATGTAGCGCCTGAAATCCAAATAAGCAGACCTAACTCGACATGTTATATTAATGATATACTTTCTCCAATAAGTATACCTTATTCTGAAAACGCTGTTTTCTTAATCTTTCATATATTTCAAGTGTATTTTATCATAGACTCGGTTGGTAAAGTTTATTTAGTTTGTTTAAAATTATCTGCTCTGATGTACACACTTATTTTCTTGATCTAGATTATATATCAAGACACAATATGTATTATAGCCGCAACTATTTTGGATTTTGTCGCTGGAATATTCGGAATTGTAATATCTACTATTGCTTAATAATTATATTACTTAAATCATCTCTTTCTTATTTTTTATATTACCATTTTCTTTTATACATTCCTAGTTTCAAGCCAATGATTCCAATGTATCGTTGATAAGAATGCAACAGTCTTGCACAATACTTAACCTGACTGATCTTAATTCATCCTTTACGAGAATTGAAATTTCACATCTTGCTGTAGCCTTTGTATTTACTGTTCTCATGGGGATTTTGACTTTCTTTCTTTGCAAAAAGTTTGGTTTGACAAAATATACAAACTATGGTGATTTTACTTTACATTGTAAGCGTCTTATATTTACTTTTCTTTTTAAATTTTTTTTTTATTTGCATATTTCCAACTTACTCATCCTTCCTAAAAACTTATGTAGCTGCATATAAGACGAGACTTATCTTTACTGCATTATTAAAAGTTAACATGCTGTTCATATTTTCTTATTTCTTTATGTCACTCGGTGCAATTCTGCCACTTATCAGAGATACTGCAATGTCCGATGAATATTTATTTCTTTTTAATTTCTTATTATTATTGTTGTCATTTATATTTGTGTCATTGGCCTTTTACGCGGTAAACTAATTTTTATTTTGTTTTATTTATCTCATCATTATTTTTATTATTGTTTTTAACCTTTTGATTATTTTTCACAAAATAGGTATCTGAAGAATCAAAAGGTGGAATGTTGGCATTTATAGTTTTTTGGCTTTTATTAGTTATAGAATTGATCTATTTGCTTACAGTCCATGGAAGCTCTGCTGCTGCTATAGGGTGGACTTTTTGGATATTGTTTAGTAAGTTTTCTTTTACAAATTAAATTTTTTATATTTGTTTTTATTACAACAAATAAATAACACTATTTTTTTTTTTTACTATTATTTAGCGTTACTTTTTTTTATAATATCATTAGTAAGTTCCTTCACATTATATTATGATTGTATTTTTTTTTATCAATCTGACTAATGAATTCTTATTTTATCATTATATTTCAGGCGGCTTTGGTATATGCGATACTGGCATTAAACAATTTTGGAAAAGGACTAAAAGCATATGGTATTTATATATTTTTTTAATCATTGTTTATTCAAATTGTTAATATTTTTTGATACATTAGTCAACTTCTTTTTTTTTTAAATCAAAAAGTTAACCATTTATCATTACAAGATTATGAATCGTCTCTATTTTTACAGAAAGCGAAAATCATTGATGCTGAAAATCATCGTGATATGCGGACATGGCGTTCTGAAGAATAAAGTATTAATGTTTAAATGATTGGATTTTTTTTCTTAGAATGAACACTTTTTTTTTTTGATACTATAATGAGTTACTATAGAGTAACATCAAAGGCATAAAATTTGATTTTAATAATTCCCTGTATTATTTTTTTGTTTTTAAGTTTGAATATGTATATTTTTGATTTTAAAGTTCAATTTTTTGTCAAATATTTAAATGAATTTAATAAAAAAAAATCGTCAAAAAAAAAAAAAACTGATGAATTTGAAAATGATATTGTATATATTAGAGTTCTAGGTACCGTATATTTGAAATTAATGTAAAGACTGGGGTTTAGTTCAAATCCGGGAATAAGGTCTTTGTTTTAATACAGTAATTAATATTTTGTGTGTAAAGTAAAAATATTAACCTCTAACTTTAAGTTTTAAAGTTTAAGTTTAATTCAAGCCTTGAGGTAAATATTACTATCGTAATGTCACGAAATAACACCACTAGCTTGTTATTTTGAATATCTAAGCGTTATTGTATGGGAGTTACTTTAAATAATTTTTCTGAACCTGGCTTCTCAAATTATTATATACGTGCTTCCAGCCAGGTTGACACCTTATATAGGGACCGCCTTATTTTGGGATGCACAGTTATATTTCATAGTGTACGATCTTCTAAATAACGTAATTAACAGCAGCTCAAGATATTATCAAGCCATCGATTTACATTACTGTTATGTACATTAATGACTGGTGTTAGTAGCAGTAGAGGCCTAAACTATCGACTGACTAAGCGATGTTATATCTTCGACCAAGGCGTGAGTTTTTGACCAATCAAGTCGATCAAGATTCAATTAAACGATTTATAAAGTTCTGTTATAAATTATCAAGATTAAAAATCCACTCAAGTAGATTTTGAACCCATAGACTAACTGTAACTCATATTTTAGATTCGGAGTTCTTACATTGATTCTATTTTAAGAGTAGACTCTAAGTTAATTTTTTCAATAAATCGGCCGACTAACCTAAATCGACGAAACTCCTGACTAATACTAATGAAAAACATATTAAAATATATTTAATCCCTCTTTCAACAAGCTTCTTTATTACGATCTCTGGATTTTGCAGAATCTTAAATTTTCTCAAAATTATAATTATTTCATTATAAAGTTTCATAGATCCATACGAAAACGTAATAATTTTTATAATTAATAATGAACTTAATTTCATTAAATAATTGGTTATAAAAAAAGTTGATTATATAAAAACAAGCTTATAAAAATGTCAATTTTTAGATTTTAAATTACATGGAATTTAAAGCCAATAAATTTTGTTATTATTAATTTCAAGAATCTAAAAAGACAATAATGTAATTTAACCATATTTTCTAACCTGACTATAAAAAACAGCCAAAGAAATATCACCAAATTTAAGTAGTAGAATCATTACCGTATTATCGCGAAATAATGCCCAGGGGCGTTATTTCAGGGCATATCATTTCCAGAGAGTTAAGACGAATAAAAACAATTTTTTTTAAAAAAAATTTTTGCCAAAATTAAATCTTAGCTCTCTGTAATTGATAACGACTCGGGCATTATTTTGCGACAACGGTACTATTTTTGTTTCATGTTGAAATACCGAAAGTTTCTATTAATAAGTAATTATACTACTATTAGAACCAGAATAATTTGCTCTACGATTATTTTGTTAAAAATCAAAGAAAAATTTACTTGAAATAAAAAAAGCCTTTTCATTGTAAGCTAGTTGCATTACAACACTTTAAAAAACCATATTAATTTTCAACAACTTCTACTGTTAAATTTACTATTTTTTATATCCTTTAATTGTGACTTACCTCTTAAAAATTTTCATATCAAACAGACCAATTCTCAGCATCAACAGTAACAATAAATGTTTGAGGTTGGATTGAAATTGATACGTATATGAATTAGAATAGAAATTTGGTTCTTGTAGGAATTAGTTGAAGAATTTAAAAAATTATTGTTAAAGATGAAATATGAATGCTTTAATAATTGTACTTCAAAGACAAAGACAAAAAGTTCGCATGAAATAATATGGTTAGTATCGGATAACTTTGGATCATTGAATATATTTTGAATTAAAGCATCACAGATTATAATTAAAAATACAAAGTCAACAGTATTGTTAAAATTAAAGACCAAAAAACAGAGATGTCACATTATTATATTGGACATTTGGACAATGTCCAATATGTCCAAATAATTTTTAATTGGATATAATAAATTTTTTATAGCAAAAAATATTTTAATTAATTAATATGAATTTTAAATTATACAATTAAGGTTTGGTGAAATGATCTATTGGCGAAATAATTCTATTATTAAACCAAAAATAGAGATATGATGTAAAAAGAAATAGAGTAAGAAAAAAATTAAGATGAAGATAGCACACAATATATAATAAGAGAATCAAAAAGAAAGTACAAAAATATAAAATAAGTGCAATAGAAAATTAAGTATACAATTGTTTGATAAGTGTTTGTTATATTATTTACTGTCAAAGCAATGCTATTTTATTAGATTTATATATATTTATCTTTAACTAATTATATTATTTTTAAATATTTATTATTACTATGCCATATAGACTAAAATATTCTATAATTAGAGGGATACTATGGTCTAAGGAGTATAAGTTGTACTTTATAAGTGCTGCAATAATATGTTATATACTAAGCACAATTAATTTACCTTTAGTATCCAGGCATTTTATATTCCCAAGTGCAATTAATTCATCTTTAATACTCAGAGTACTTTATATTCTAGGTTTTTAAAAATCATGTAACATATTGTAAAAGTGGTCTTTTAGTTTACACTGTATGATAATTTCATAGAATAACTAATCATAATATTGTTAAGACAATTTAACAAAATAATTATATGAATTTCTTAATTCATATTAATGCATTATTAAATCTATATGCATAATTTTATAGAATAGTTAATCATGTTCTTTTTTCTAATAATAAGACACAAATTAGATTCAATAATAATTTTTTAATTAACAAGTCAATAAAAAAATTTTTAAAACAATAATAGTTTGGTATAAATTCATTGTATTATTTTAAAATTTATATGAATTTAGTAATTACAATAATGTAAGTAATAATAACATTATTTATTTAACTAATTTGAAAACAAGTTTATATTGAAATACAAGTAAAATTGAAAAAAGAAATCTTATAGTAAAATTATACATATTCATGACTTTTAAACTCAAATAATTATAGATTTACAATCAATTATATTTAAACCACAAAGATTCAAATAATAATAATTAGTTTAAAAAAAAATCTTATAGTAAATTACAATTATACCATGATACATATTCACAATTACAAAGATTGAAATAATGTTTATCAAACTAATTTGAAAAGAATAATTATAAAGGCTTGAAAATTTATAATTAGAATATGATAAAAATAATTAATATAATAAATCATTATCAATTTCAATTATAAAATGATATTTTGAAAATAAAATATCAACTTATCTTTAAGATCTTTGACAAAACAATAATTAATAAAGACCTTATAGCAGAGACAGTACTTGATTCAAAGTGAATCTCTCTCACCTGTAATCAATTACAAATTAAATTATTTATGTTAAATTTAATTATAATGAATATTATTTTTTATCAGTTTTAATATATGTATAACATTAACAGTCTCTACTTTTTAAAGACTTTTAACAAAACATTTGAAATCTCAATCTACTTTTTACTTAACTACTATAATGATCAAAATAAATTGTATAGTCTTTAAATTATAACTTATTAAAATAGATTATTATTAAGCAACATCATTTTAAATAATTAAAGCAATTTCATTTCTTCTAATCCATATTGAGCTGCCTACAAATATAAAAGCAAATTTGATTCGGTAACAAATAAAAAAAAATTTAAAGCAAAAGTAAATTGACACTTATTCTTGACATTGAACTGCATGTAAACAATAGCTTTTCTTAGAATTAACACCTAAATTTAGATGTCATATGCAATTAAGCAATTATAAAACTAAAATTAAAGAAGGTAATATAATATTTCTCTTTATATTGTAAACAAAGTATTGATCCATTTTCAGTTTCTAATTATAAATTGTAACAAACTAGAAAACAAAAAAGCAAGATTTAAAATTGGATACAAAAATATATAAACAATTCTAATAAATTAGACAAAGCATTTTTGAAAATAAACCTATATATATCTTTTTTATTATATTTGAAAAACTTGTATTTTTGGTAAAATATAAGTTTGGTATTATACTAAAAATGTAAATAAGGTTCAGAACCCAATCAATTTTTATTTATAAAAATAAACTTGTACAAAGATCAAAGTATTTAGTAACAAACTTGATTCAACTAAAATTTTTTTTATTATAGTTTTAGAGATTGCAATGTTGTACAAAAAAAGTATTGTATAGTTATAGCAAAATATATATATCTATTTATCAATAAATCATTTTATTAGACTTAATTCAAATTTATGTTTTGTTTTCTCTATTTAACAATATTATCTTTTATGTTTATTCAAGATGTATTTTATTTTAAACTAATATTAATTAAATTGTCTCTATTAAATAAACTATTTATTTTAGTTTATACAAAACAATACAGTTTATTTTTTAATTATTATAAAATAAGTCAGTTAACTGATGTTTGACAAGATTTATACTCAGATATAATCTTTTTTATCAAAAGTATTTAAACTTTTAATTTATAAATTATAAAACTTAATAATGATTTAGTTACAAATTAAAGAATATTAACTTATACTAAATCAATTACTAAAAACAGAATAGTTATTTTTTTGAAACATTTAAAAAAATAAATTAAACATTTTACTAAAAGAATTTTAAGAGAGAATATTTTTATTACAAAAGATTGTTTATTATTTATTTTAGAATTTTGATATTAGAATTTATATTTTTTTTCTTATATTTAGCAAATAAACATAATAGTGAACTTAAGAAATTATAAAACAGATTCATCAAT